AACTAAACAAACCATCTACTAAACTACACATATGTCCTTAAAACCTTATGGGAGTCAAATATTCCAGTAAAAATAACAGAAGAAATGGAAACACAAGTTTCTTATTATCACACTTCATATGTTATAAAACATAACAGCTAACTTATTTTTGGCAAAATGATTAAGGATTGCAACACGCTGGCTTACACAAACTTATTTGATTGTCAAATGCATCTTAAATGGAGCGTGTCATGCTAACTTCAGGCAAGCAGGCATTGTGGTAGCAGAGTAGCCCAGAGACACTGGAATTTCAACACATCAGCAGGGATCACACCACCAATATTAACTGGGCCAGGTGTTTAAAGGGGAGGGGGTAGGATTTCAACAATGTAGTTAATTGAAACCAGATAAAGGCTTTGGATAATAAAAAGATCATACAGATGTTCACCCTCCTCCCTGGGTGACCTTTATGGACAATTTATAGTGTGCATTATTTTCTAGACTACCCCCTTGAAAGTGAAATAGTTTTGTATGCTACTCTGAAAAGTCCTGAAATGCTGCATGAACTAGATATTCCCTTTTTAACCGTCATTCCTGCAAGAGGAACGACACCTGAAGGTAGAGCAATAATCAGAAATTTGTAAAGTCCAAACTTTAAGAAAGTTTATGCCTCTTCAGATGCCTTGTCTTCTTCTCCAGTGAACACTGAATGCAAACCGAGAAAGGGGAGATGTGCTCAAAACAGTTGTGTTGAACGACTATTTTCAAGTATGCAGAATAGAAAGTGCAAAATAGACACAGAAAGAATGAAGAGCAAACAAAGAAAACCCCCGGGAACAGATCTGTGATTAAGGTAATAAATTGTGAGGAGAAAAAAATGATTATTTACGATGTTTATGAAATAGTATATGAATCAGGGTTCTCTAAAGAAATAGAACTTACAGATATATGCACATATAAAAGAATTATTATTGGAATTAGCTCACATATTATAAAGGTCGACTAGCCTCACCATCTGTCACTGTCTTCAAGCTGGAGAATTAGAAGGGCCAGTGGTATAGTTCAGTCTGAGTTCAAAAGCTGCAAACCAGGGCAGGAGCTGCTGGTGATATCCCAGGTCTAGAGGCTGAGGTTTGAGAAGGAGTTGTGGTGCCACTGGTGTAAATTCCAGAGAAGGTTTGAGGATAAAAGCACAATGCCCAAGGACAGAAGAAGGGAGAGGGCCCAGGTCAAGAGGAGATGGAAGAATCTACCCTTCTTCCAACCTTCTGTTCTATTTCTGGGCCCTTGAAGGACGGAAAGAAGTCTCCCCAAAATGATGAGGGAAGACCTTTTTCATTCAGTTTATTGATTCAAATTCCTTTTCAGAAAACACCTTCTCAGACATACTCAGATATTATGTTTAGCTAAATTTCTGGATAACTCGTATGTGTGTGTGTGTGTGTGTGTGTGTGTGTGTGTGTGTGTGTGTGTGTGTGTGTTTGGGGTCACACCCGGCGATGCACATGGGTTACTCCTGGTTTTGCACTCAGGAATTACTCCTGGCGATGCTCAGGGGACCATACGGGATGCTGGAAATTGAACCTGGGTCGGTCGCATGCAAGGCAAACGCCCTATTGCTCCAGTCCTATCTGGGTAACTCTAAGCCCAGGTCAAGTGACACATAACATCAGTCATGACAAATCTTTATTCTGTATTCAAATGGACAAGGACTCTTTTAAAAAGCCTTTAAAACAGGCAACAACAACCCAACTTTTTATCTCCTGTCAGTTTGCCATATTTTAATTGATAGGATCAAGCCACTTCTCATACCAGTATATAAATTCACATATTTGATATGCCAAACACAGTAACAAGTGTCACAATGGAGACGTTACTGGGCCCACTCGAGCAAATCAATGAACAACAGGAGTGACAGCGACAATGATTTGAGTACACACCTACACGATCAAGATAGCACCACCCAAATGGAATTCTAACCATGAAACTGGTGGATGGGGACTTTCTGACATGATCCTCGGGGATTCTTACCTTCTAAGAATCATGCCCCAGTTAAAATCTGTTCCCCATGATTAGGAATTGTGATTTGCTTCTAATAAAGACAATAGTGTAATTAGGCTCTAGTCTGCGATCTCCATTTGCCAGCAGACACTTTCCCTGGCTCTTCTCTGTGTGCTCCGATGAGGTATGTGAGAAGAGGCCCAAATATTCAGGAACTGAGGGTGGCCTACACTCAACTAAGAAAGACCCTTAGTTCTACAACCTCAAAGAACTGAGTCCTATAAAAAGATTGCATTTATCTGGGGGACATAAAGTAACAAAATAGGAGATTAATACCCAAGAATAGCCGAGATCAGTACCAGGAGGATTACTCCATGGCTTAGAGGCCAGCCGGGCATTCTAGGGGAAAGGGCAGCTTAGATAAAGAAGGGAGCACCAAATAAAGGGTGTTTGGAGGATCCTCCCAGGATGGGAGATGCATGTTGAAAGTAGACTATGGGCCCAACATGATTGCCACTCAATGCCTCTTTTGCAGACCACAACACCCAAAAGGAGAGAGAAAACAAAAGGGAATGCCCTGCCACAGAGGCAGGGTAGGATGGGGGGTTGGGGGTGGGAGGGATACTGGGAGTGGTGGAAAATGGGCACTGGTGGAGGGATGGGTATTTGATCATTGTATAATCAAAACCCAAGCACAAAAATTTGTAAGTCTACAACTGTACCTCATGGTGTTTCACTAGTAAAAAAAAAAACTGAGTCCTGCCAAAAACCACGTGAATACGCTAAAAACCAGATCCTTCTCAGAAAAAGCAGAGGAGAATAGAAATAGATGAGAACACAGCCCTTAAAGAGACCTGAATTACAGTCATAGGAAGGAATCTGAATAGCTAAGTTTTGGTCATATTCTAGATTCACAGAAATAATGGGAAAATATCTGAATAGCTAAGTTTTGGTCATATTCTAGATTCACAGAAATAATGGGAAAATAATTATGTATTAATGCATGTGAAGTTTGGGGGCAATTTATTAGACAGCAGCAGACGACCAACAGAGTAGGAGATCAAATGTCCGAGCCAATGATTCCATCATCATTTCAATCATGATAATAATAGCTAATGCAGGGAACTTTGCATTCTGACATCTTATGAATTCTTTATGTAATTACATAATCCCTCCCATGAATTACCCCCATTTATTATCACCATTTTACCCATCGAGGAAACTGGAGTTCAGAGATTCAATTAGTTGTACGAGGTCACACTACTAATGGACAACACCAAGTATTTGAACCTAGTAGGTGTCTTGGCTCCAGAATCAAACAACTAGACAACCATTTAGAGGCAGAACTGACTCCTATAAAGATGGTAATCTAAAAAAATACAAGAGAAGATTTTAGAAGACATGAAAGAAATCAGAAACTATGCAAAAATAAATTTTTTAAAAAGTCAAAAGTCTGATCAAAAGGGGAGGAAGACAACAACAGAGTGAATGAAACACAATAATGAATTTATGCTCCATAACATAATTTTCTTCTACCTTATAAGAGAAAATAAACAATCTCCATTTGACATTTAACACTTTACTCAGGGAGTCTATGGCTATCCTTTTCCCAGGGGGAAATTATGAGTGAGAAATCTTTGTTAAGCTGGTAGGAAAAGAAAAGAATTCCTAGTGAGCTATACGATGCCAATGGAGATATTTTACCACACGGGGGAGGGGGGGGAAGGTCAAAATCCCAGGTTAATTATTTGTTCTTCATACCCCCCACACCGTAGTTTCATAAGACAGTAGTTACCACTGCAATGGATTAGTGAGTCTTCTCCATAGACCTCAAATTCTCTTATCTCAAAGGCTCCGTTATTTTCAAAATGAAGCACAAAGACTGACGTATGGGAAATGCTTAATAAATGTTTGTTGAATGAAGAAATAATGAGGTTGTGAATCACATGCATTCAAAGGGTCATTTTCAACAGTGTAAGTAATGGAAATAGGAGTTTTCTTCTTCTTTTTTTTTTTTAAAGTCTCCTATAGGTCACTAGCTTATATGGGCACTTTTAAACAGACTTTTGTGTTTTCTGTGTCTCTCCCCAACCCCAGATTTTTTTTTTGGCTTTACGGGTCACACACAGTGATACTCAGGGGTTACTCCTGGCTCTGCCCTCAGGAATTACTCCTGGCGGTGCCTGAGGGACCATATGGGATGCCAGGGATCAAACCCGGTTGGACACATGCGAAGCAAACACCCTACCTGCTATACTATCGCTCCACCCCCCTGCCCCCCCCCGCCATGTCTCCCTTAACATCTGGTACAAAGTGGTACGGAACACATATTTGTGAACAAAACGATACCTCATAAAGATTGTCAAACTATGGAAGAGTTGAGAAAATGGTCAGGGGAAGCAGGTACTGCGCTGGAGGCTGTGGGGTTGGAGTTCTGTATTCATGAAACCCTATCATTAACAGGGTTGCATGTGACAGTGACTAAATAAAATTAAAACAAAACAAAAACAATTGATTACGATTAAGTGCTCTATACTACAAACAAAAACACTCCTATAGAACATGTAAGAATCCAGACTTCCAACCAAACAAAGAGGATGTGTTCTGTAAGTACAGCCTATCACAAAAGATGATGACAATAACTTCTCTTTCTTTTTGAAAGGAGTACACATCTGCAAAATACTCTCCCAATAAATAGAGATTCTTGTCTAGATCCTAACTGTTGACTATTATGAAACATTCTTTTTATAAAAGTAAGTTATATGGGAGAATCAAATCAACCTTAAACTAAAAAGCTTCCTTTCAGAAAATTCCCAACGCATTCAGCATTATGTTTGGAAACATCATGAGAATTTCATAACCATAAAATCTCACAAACTCACAGTAAAAGAAGATAAAGATAAGGGTATGATCAATTATCCTCTGGTTCATCCACCAATTAAGACAAGAGACAAAGAGCAAAGGGAGGCGGAGGAGGTTTGGTGTGCAGGGAGCACCTTGGCACCTGGAGTCATACTTACTGGGAGTTCAGGAGCAATCTTCAAAATCTCAAGGGACATATAGCATCCTATTGAATGGCCAATGAGCACAAGTTTCATTTCTTTGGGTACGTGAGCTTTCAGGAAAGCCAGCTTATGTTCTACTTGACCACGGAGTCCATAGATGTCTGGGAATTCTTGAGCATTTGACTCTAAAAAAGAAAACATGAGGATGTTTTCATTCAAAAACCTAAAGCAGTAAGTTCCCTGGGAAGGTGTAGGGTGGGGAGATAGTACAGAGGGTATAGTGCCTGATTTGTGTGCAGTTAAGCCACGTTTGATCCCTGGAACCCCATACCCTTCCCCAGAACCTAGCACCAGGAGAAAGCTCTGAGCATTACCGAGTATGGTCCCCCCCAAAAATAAAAACTTCGCTGGGAAGTATATTTAAAATTACAACAAACAAACACTATCCTCCTGTTGTTCATTGATTGCTCTAGCGGGCCCAGTAACGTCTCCATGGTGAGACTTCTTGTTACTGTGTTTGGCATATTGAAGACTCTCGGTAGCTTGCCAGGCTCTCTGAGAGGGGAGGAGGAATCGAACCTGGTTCAGCCAGGCTGGCTGCCCGCAAGGCAAACGCCCTACTGCTGTGCTATTGCTCCAGCCCACATTAACAAATAATAGTGTTATTTGTTATGCTTCCCCATTTTCTGGGAAGCCTCCAAAGCATTAGATGCAGTATTAGGTATGTTGTTTCAATGATATCAACCAATCTTCACTACAACTCCAGTGTAAAAGTATTTTATCTTCACTTCATAAATGAAAATCCCAAAACTATCATTAGGTGGTGGACTGACAGTGCATACTTAGTAGGTGGGAGAGGCAAGACTCAAACCCAGATTTCGATTTTCAAAGTCCCAGCATTTCTAACTATCTAATCTTTAGACTGAGTTTATTTCTCAAATTTGAGTGTGTATTTCTATGTTTTCATGCTCTGTGGGAACTGCTGGTCCAAAGATTTTGCAATGACAACCAGTGCTTAGGCTACATTTTATTAATAGACAACTAAAGAAATCACAATACTGCTTCATTATTTTAGATAATCTTTGTTTAAAAAACTCAGATGGAATGACTTAAGTAGAATACTATTAAGTGTTTCTTTTAACTGGCACAGTCCTGAACTTAAATATCGTTTTTCTTCTTACCATAAATGAACTGTCTTCTAGATTCTTCAGAAGCTAATTAAAACATCATCTAGCTAACCTTCAAGAAAAACAAATGCCTTCATTTTGTGGCATCCCTGGTACCCCAGGGTCCAAGCAGGAGCACATCCTTGGGCCCTTGCATTGAACTACTGGCCTGGTTGATGGAGAATAGCCAGTGGGAACCCCAGACCTCCTGAGCATCCTTGGGAGTGTCACCCTCCCCAAATTACAGTGACTACCTGATTCTTTTAAAAATTTTTGTTTTAGTCACCATGATTTGCGATTTTACAATAGCCTCAGTGATGGGTTTCCTGAATACAACACACCTCCAGCAGAGTGTCTTTCCCTCCACCTCCCGGTTTCCTCTCATCCTCCTCACCCCTGCCTCAACACTTCTTCCATCCCCACCCTGGTCCTCCTTACTGCCATGGGAAGCTCAGTATATTTAGACCAGTTCTTAGATTCTGCTGCTTTTGGCCTTCTCTTATTCTCCTACTATACATCTTCAAAATCCACATATGAGAGAGTTCACCCTGTGGTTGTCCTTCAGGTGAGTTCACTCAGCAGGATACCCTCCAGATTCACCCACAGAGCAGTAAAGTGGACGTTCTGTCTCTTCTTAAAGCCAAGTAGTATTCCATTGTATTTTCTATCTATCAATCATTAAGATTTTTGTCTGCCTAGGAATGAAACTAACTATGATGATTTAATGTGGCTCATTCAAATGGTACCCCAAATTCATTACAAATAAATGGCTATTTAATTTTGTGTGTACTAGCTATTTTTCTTCTTTCACTTTCCACTTCCCTAAGAATCTGGCTAATTCCTTCAAACTCTTCACAAGTGCAATCTCCTCCGAGAAGGCATTTTGTATGCCTGATTTGTGCCACACTCAGAGGTACTCAAGGGACCAGGTAATGCAGGGGACAGACCCCATGAAAGCCAGCACTGCAGTCCATTGAGTGATCTCTCCGGCTTTATAAACCACAGTGTAGAACGGGAAAAGCAGTCTTCCTTTTCATGGCCACAATGTAAGCATACATTGTTATGAGAGCCACTCCACGTCATTCCCAGCAGCTGGTATTCAGGGACCATGCAGTGCTGGGGTGGAATCCACGACCTCATACATGCAAAACACATGCCTTCCCTCTTGACCCTCACACTAGACAATAAGGGAGCATGCTGTATTTGTATCTATGTATCAGTTACTATTTTCTGTCAGTTGAGTTCATGTGAAATGGGAGAAAATGACAAAAATCAGGTTTATATATTTCCCAAAGTTTAAGGGCTCATTATATTTCTTTCCAAAACTGATACTTTTGGTTTTGTTTTTGGGCCACACCCGTACTCGGAGATGCTCAGGGGTACCTTCTGGCTCTGCACTCAGGAATTACTATTGGCAGTGCGCAGAAACCATATGGGATGCCAGGAATTGAACCCAGGTCGGCCATGCAAGGCAAGCACCTTACCCGCTGAACTCTCTCCAGCCCCAACAATTGGAAATTTTTTTTTTTTAAAAAAGGATCAATTTAGACAACAGATGAAAAGTAAATGTAATGACTAAAATGGCTTAATTCTTTTATGAACTCTTAGGGAAAGATTGTATCTTTGGAAATAAAATCCAGATTTGATAAATGAATTCCATAGTGATGCGTAGAAGAAAGAAAGTTAATTGCTGAAAGAGAACTGCCCATATTAGTTTCAGGACCATACAGTGATTAAAGATATGGTTCCTGGGTTGTCATTTAGCAATTCAGTCACTCCTTAGTTTAGAGACACATTATGCTTCAACTCTACTCAGCTGATTGTAATGTGGTAGACTTTATCCTTATAGAAATAACTGTAAAACTCTTTTCCATATTATCATGCTTTTGATTATGATATAATTGAATCTAATTTTTTGTGAGTTTTATGGAGATTAAATTAATGGTCTCTACCAGCTTAAGTAAGACAGTTTGTGCTGAGTTCTTAAAGTGCTATGCAAACAACATTCCTAGGAGGCTAGAATTATCTCTGGTTTATAGAGGAGGAGACTGGAGCCCAGATTATAGTATTTGTCTGAGTCACACAATACGAGCTCAGAGGGAATTTAGACCAGATTTATCTTGTCTCCCATGCCCACGGCTTTATACTATATCACAGACAAATGAGCTCAATATTTTCAAGGGATGTGTTTTTTGAAAAATAAAAAACATGGGTTGCACATATGCGTTTATTTGGGGGCATCAGAGACCGTCTGAGCACTTTACAGCATAACAATCAGTAAAGACAGGCAACAGTGGAGTACAAACTACTCAAACGTTAATGTATTACTAAAGAAATAACAATTTGGATTCCTAAGCATCAGGAGCCTTAGTAATTGCTGATTTACAGATTCTATCTCTTTCTAACTCTCCTTGCTGAACTTGCTAAAGGGAGAAGAAGGTTGACCAAAGAAGAATGGTTAGGTTAGAACACAGAAAGAGGGAACTGGGCTTCACTTATAGGTAAAAGTTTCTTCAACAGCTGTGTTCCAGGCAGTGGGAACATATAAAACAAGAGTGAAGCAGTAAACTGGAAGAAGTGTGATGAGATAAACATTTTCATTGTGCCGCTATCATTATTTCAAAGCTCTAGCTTAACAAGAACTTTAATTAAAAAAAAAACTTGCATGTGATTGAAAGACCAAAAGTATTACTTCATATTTTAAAGAATACTTCAACAAAATGAATATATTACATGATTCCTTGGGTCGTTTTTTGTTTTGTTTTGTTGTTGTTGTTTTGGGTCATACCCAGCAGTGCTCAGGGCTCTGCACTCAGAATCAATCTTAGCGGTGCTCAGGAGACCATACGGAATGCTGGGGATTGAAGCCAAGCTGACTGCATGCAAAGCAAATGCCCTCCCCTCTGTACTGGCTGTACTATGGTTCAGGCCCTTGGGTCAAGTTTTATAAGCACAGAAAAACAGTACCATAGATTGCTCATCATTATATGCAACTAAACAAATAAAAAGAGACACGAAGTACCTCCTACAAATAGTAGAACTATTTATAGTAAAATAGTTGGGATACTGATGACATAGACTTTATGTATTATTCTATTAACCAAAAAAATACTGAATCAATTGTGGTGAAATGTTACAGTTGTGAGTATACAGTTGTGTAAGACTATTATACAACTTCTCATGCTCTTCTATATTAAGAGTCTCAAACACTGTTAGAAAAATCAGGACACAGCTTTGATATGCCAATCCTGGCTTCCTAGTATTGGTTTTACAGAGAAGATTATTATTCATTTTCTCACTTGCACAACTGGTGAAGCAGTAGATAAGAACTGTCCCTCAGCTAGCCAGATCTCCCCAGGTAGTTTGGTCGGGGCTGAGAACTCTGGGGCCTTCTCAGAATGGGGGGCGGGCAGATTTCCTTTCTGCCTAATGGTCCAGCAGCCCACGGCCATCCCGACATACTCCTGACTTAGAAATAGCCCCACGCCACAAATGAAACTGCCAAGCTACCATATTGTTCCAGGTCTACAGGTCCTGGACACCTTGAAATTTCATAGTATAATCTACACAATGGAATACTCTGTAGCCATTAGGAAAAATGAAGTCATGAAATTTGCTTGTACATGGATGGACATGGAGAGTATCATGCTGAGTGAAGTGAGACAGAGGAAGAGGGACAGACATAGAATATTAGCACTTGAAGGATAAAACAAACAAGCAAACAAACAAAACAACCGCAGTAAGAGAATATGCCTAAAGCCAGTACAAATGAGGACCAGGAAGCTGCACAAGTTGTAGGGAAAGGCAGTGAGGACAGTGAAGGGACCATTATAACAAAGATAACTGGAAATCAGCACTCTGGCACTCTGGACAAGAACTGAGTGCTGAAAGGAGGTAAAGTGATATACACGTTAAAGGGTAAAAGTGATAACCTTTCCGTAGCAGTATTACAAAGCACAGTGTCCAGAGGGGAGGGAGAGAGAGAGAGTAAGAAAAGGGAGGGGGGACAGAGAGAGAGA